CCCCAAAACCCCAAAACCCCAAAACCCCAAAACCCCATGATACTCAAATAAAATAGTAAGTTTGAGTTATATAATAATGATAATAATCATATTTTTCTTCTTTTCTGAGGTTCTTGTCTTTATTTTATATTTTTATTTTACTATTTGTATTTCTAGACTGTGCAGAGATAAAAGCATTCATTCAGTTCAAAAGTAAAGACTTGACACAATGGTTTTTTCGATTCATCTTCTAAGAATTTAAGTTTCTTTACTATCTTTCCTTCAACTATAACAAAAGCTTTTCTGTTTGTATGAATAGTAAGATTTTCAATGTCAAAATTAATTTTTGTTATAAACTCATCTTCATCAAAAGCAATAATTAATCTCGAAATATTGGTCTCATTGCCTGTCAAAATTTGCAAAGACTTTATTGAATTATCAACCTTGCTCAACTTTAAGCTTAAATTGCTTATTTACTATTATTTGAGTGGGGTATTTGACGAAATTAAAAATGTTTCTTGTATCATTTTGGTCTTAAAATTTAGTACTTTTACTTTATAGGTAAAATTTCTATTTTGTAAGCTATTTTTCTCTTCCTCAAATTCATCAACTTTAACTAATTTTTGAAGCACTTCTTAGGTTATTTGAGCATTTTTTTAATAAGCGGTAAAAATCAAATTATTACTAAGCACAAAATTTCCGATATAGTCTATGACATTAAAATATCGATTTTCTTCATTCAAAACTTCAATAATTTCTTAGATTATGATTAACTATATCCCCTATTTTTAAAATATGCTTTCAATTATTTCGAAAATTCTGATGAGACTAGATTTATCCATTTCAAACAGTTTTTCCTTATCAACATAAGTATTGTTTTTAAATGTCTAAATGATTTCCTCATTCGAATATATCTCATTCATGCTTTTTAATTAATACATTTGAGCATCATCGATTATGAAGGAAGATTGATAATTTTTGAAATCAAGAGAGTTTTCTGAAATCATTATGTTCATAGGGTTGATATCTCCGTGATAAATCATTTATTATTGATGAAATTAGAGCTACTTTAGAGCAATGTAGAAATACTTTGAGAGCTAAGAATCAATAAGAGAAGCTTCCTTATTCTGGGTTATGAAGTTTTTTACCAGCTCAAATAAGGAGGACTCTCTTTGTTCAAATTAAGTTTTGTTTGAAATGACTATTGGTTGCTGCTCATTCTTGATTCTCTCAATGAATTTTAACATTGGCTCCTCATTCAAGTTCCACCATTCTTCAATAAAAACAGAAGATCTGTTTAGTTTTATCCATTCTTCTAGCAAGCTTTGATCCATCATTCCTTAGTTAGACTTAAGCGAATTACTTGAATTTTTGGATTCTTCTGTTAATCTTTATCTTATATTTGACAGATTTAAGGAGACTCTTGTATATTCATGAGGGATAGAATTAGATTAGGACTGATGAGAGGATTTATATTCTTCGAGATAGGCAGATGATAAAGAACTGTTATCAATGAATAAGTTCATATTTTTGTCAAAAAGCTATAGTAAGCTGTTTTCACTTGAATCGCTATTTTTGTTATTTCTATTAGATGAAATTATGATAGCATTATTGCAGTTATCGCTCTCAGCTTAAGAATATTACTATGAATCTGACAATTTATTGCTACTCAAACTTGAGCTTTCATCTAACTGATCCATATCTCAACAACAAAAAATGTATTTAAATTATTTTTAACGATCAATTTCTTGCTATCATTTCATTTTGGGGTTTTGGGGTTTTGGGGTTTTGGGG